ATCCAATAGAGCAAAGAATTAGACTTAATTACTTCTTTATAATATTCTTTGTTCCTATAAGTATATACTTGGATTTGGATAGCACTTGGCTTTCCTTTCTTACTTTTTTTGTTGTGATAGGCATATAGCTTTTTCAGCAGTGGACCTTTTAAACAGTTGACTATGCAACCGTATTTGATAATTATTTACTTTATAAGGACGTGTGTTAACTACTTGTACTTATCGCACATCACCTCAATTTGTACGTGTATTATCGATATTATAATTTCCTCTTATTGTTCTGATTCTTGAAACAACATCAGCTTATTTAAGCTGTTTAAAGATTAAGGTTTTATTTGTTAAAACAAATTTACCTACGGCGTTGCTTTTTTTAACTAGACAGGAATCCAAGAAGGAAGTGACAGTGACGTTTACGACCCTCTACGATTACAGACTTTCCTTACAAACGCCTTATATCTCTTACTTACACTTTACCGATTGCTTTATGATAGTGGAGGACAGACAAGCACGATGTTCACTTGATGGTAGGTGAAAAACCTCAGCCATAGAACATCTAAACAAGATGCGCTGTCGACCTTTTTTGACTTTGGATATTCGGAAATCTACAGACTGAAACTGAAACGCGATTAAAGTTGTGAAAAAATATAAATTGATTAGAAAAATGCCGACATTTTTCTAATCGATGTTCGGTCCCCACCGGGTTCGGACCCACGACCCGTTGATTATAAGCCACCATTATAGCATTTCACCAACGTGCAAGTCATATTCCGTGAAAAACCTTCTCCGTCGTACCGATCTAAATTAGGTATTTGGAATATTTTTAGGCAAGTTAGCGACCAGCTTTCTGTGTTCTTTCGGACCGCAAAATGTATCCAAAGGTTATGCAAGGTAACGCTATTACAAAGCAACCGACTACGGCGAACGACTTAATTCGTCTATATTAATTTCATACACCGATTTCTCTCTCGTAATTATCATTTTAATAATTTATTACCTTAACCAGATTTAATAACTCGAAATGTGGTTACCCGGATGCAGGAACTGGGCTATTAAATTTGCTCTCGATCATTATAATTTTATCTCTCATACTATTATATATATTTTTTATACAAATTAATTAAAATATACATAAGGCATTAAATATATAACCATTTCTACATAATTTACTTACACTTGAATAAACAATAATACTTACTTGTAATTGATCTGTTAAATTTCATCATAGTGTCGTAATCTTTAAAAAATCCGAGACGTTATCTTTGACTTCCAGAAAAGATAAAACTGACCTCAAAATGGCCCATTTTGCCTTAGAAATGAATCTTTTAAATTCAGGTACCATTGCTTTGTCTCGGATCTCGTTGTCTATAGCTATCTCGCTCACTCCAGTGTGTCGTAAACTACAAGGTAGAACGTGCGCACGAGTCGAAATCCGTGAACTGCAGTTCGCGCGGCGACGCAGTCGTTATTGGTTGTTTGTGATGCCAGCGAAGTGCGTTCCAAATTTAAAATTATCGCGACCAAAGTTAAATTTGTGAAACATGACGAGTGATATAAAAGTAATGCGTTGGGTTATTGAGTGATGTTTTCAAATAGTGATGTGCTAACCGTGCTTTTCGTGTGTATTATAATGTCACAACAAAAGATTTCGAAGGATATAGCGACAATTGCAAAAGTAACTGGATCTCCTTACATCCTCTTTATGCTACAATTCTAATTTCGAAATTATAACCTTGCATCTTACTTTGTAAATTAAAAAAAATGTTCCACAGATAATTATACCTATATTACAGATTATCTAGGAGGTTTTTTGAGATGTGAAGGTTTCTATACATTGAAAGTCTTAACGTTTGCGTGCTATACTATTTCGTGAAAGTCTAAGACTTCAAGTTATTTTTGCATACTAATCCATGCTTTCTACTCCACTGAACTTTGCAGTAGGTTCGTCAAAGCAACTCAAATTGTTGTTGCCAATGTATAATTTTCATAAATCAACATAGAATTTTCCGCGTAATTAGTTGACAACTGTTCCTCTAAAATTCCTAGTTTATAATCAATATTCGTAATATTTGTGTTGTTCTTAGTTTTTACAATCGAAACATCTTTAAAATAAAAACCAATTATACCCATAAGCTTTGCAACGTGTTTTACTATTCCTAAGAATTTTAACTGCTCTTAGTATTGTTATAATTGGCGAATTCAAAAAGGGTATTTAACTAATAAATTTCGCGTTTAAACCCGTTAAAATAGTTTTTTTTTAAATTTGCTTGTGTCATTATGCTATTGCAAATCAGCAATATGTTATTGAATGAAGAAGATCTTTTCTTGAATGTTGTTGTGTATGTCCTCATTAAGCCTTCTATCATTGGTATTTCAGAGCAAAATTTCACATTGATTGCTTGAGCAATATATATCATGTTCATTAAGATTAGAAAGTGGGTAATGCCGGTGGCATTTTAGATGGAATCGTTTGATCGTGCTCTATGAGTTTTAACAGCCAACAATTCACTATTATTATGACGGACATCTAGATAATGTTGTAATCACAATATCACGAAGCGCTAGAAAGTGGACGATAAAATCGATCTGTATGGATAATTAATTGAACGAATAAAAATCTAGTCTCTTTAAATAAATACAATCGTATATTAATCATTGCCCTTTCGTACACAATGATTTTACGAACAGCTGTTCGAAGATTATACCTATGCCCGACCGAAACAAATGTTTTTCTGGACTTCGAAACGGTCGCCTTATGCAAAAAAAGAAGAAGAGAAAAGAAAAGATTCGCGCGTAAATAAATAAAATTTCGCAGTTACAGAATAAGCATTTTACTAAAATACGTTGGACGAACAAAAACACGGATGTAGCGTTTTTTCGAAGTCTGTGCTCAAATTAATTAATAATAGACATTTTTTTTATCTTTGCAAAATAAAATGCGCATACCAGACCGTTTGGCTACAGAGGCCATCATCGAATATGGTATTAAGTCAATGATAGATGATAGATCTCTGTAAATATAAGTTCGTCTTTGTGGTGTAGAAATTTAGACGATCAAATGACCGCTCGACTATAACGGACCCCTTTCTTAGTTTCATGCAAATTCAGTGTGGTGTAACCTATTTCTAGTTTTTACTTTTAATAATCGACCTGAATATACATATCTATCTTAAAAAACGTACTGTAAACCTACTGTTATCATCTTTAGTTTCCCCGTGACCACGGCTGCTCTAAAGCATCCGAAACACCGGGCCGTAGTTAAAATAATTTTCAAATAAGTTTAACTAATAGTATAAACTATTTAGGTCAGTGTTTAATTTAAATGTATACTACTCGCGTAAACTACAGGCAGTATTTAAACCTACTGTTTCTACTACAATAAGACAAGTTTAAAATACTCCTAACCTGTTTCATTTAGGAGCCAGGTGCGAATCCATCAAAGAACTAGTTTTTACTGCCATCTGTTATTTAAAATCATAGCCGTATTGATGCAAGAATAATTAGATCTGGAAAACAATTGCATATCCAAAATAGATCGAAAGGACACCTGTTTGTTTGTTAATCGTACAATAAAACTGGTATATTGTTATAACTAGTGACCTTCTCCGGCTTCGCTCGGGTACAATGCAAACACTATAGGCAAAGCTTGAATGGTGTAGGTTAAAGCCTTCCTCTTGAATCACTCTCAATCTATTAAAAAAAACGCACTAAAATCCGTTGCGTAATTTTAAAGGTTTAAGCGTACATAGGGACAGAAAAAGTGACTTAATTTTATACTATTAAGTTACTAAGTATTAAGTTATGTATATAGTAGTAAGTTAGTATTCGATATAAATTAATTGATTTCTCCGGTTCCTAGGATGAATTCTCATGTATCAGCTGGTCAGTCGAGTGCATATGTGGACCAATGAACTGGTTTCAACTTCATCATCAGATGTTTAGAAAACGTTTTCTACTCGCCGATCATGCGTCTCATAATTAACAGTAATTCGTTAAGCATGTTTCCTTTAGTTCACTTCGGCTAAATATATATATGTCAGTAAGCAATGCTGCAAGTTATTTATTTTTCTTAATGCATATTTTTCTTAATAATTTCGTAATAATTTTTCGTGTATCAACTAAATCATGTAAGACTACGAAATATCGTGACTTATTATTTTTTAATTAATTATGGTACATTACAAAGTGATATAATTCTTTTTAATAATAAAGGAAGACACACAAGCATCGTTCACTTGATGGTAGGTTAAATACCCCAGCCTGGCTTTTAAAAAAAGATGTGCTGTCGGCCTATTTTGGCTTCGGAAGTCCACAGGATGAAACCGAAACGTGATTAATTGCGGACGGTGGCTCGTGACACGGACGGAATGTCGATATTCCTACCACCCATTTAATATCCAGAATTCCAGACGAAGTCCAATATATATTCAGAAAAATTATATACAAATCCTTTTTAATAACAACGGAAAGACTAAAATCTAAATAGATATAATAATGATCAAAAAGGAAAAACCGCTTCTGTTTCAGCTCGGACGTAGTCCATTATCTAATTATTACGTAAGATACTGTTTGAATTCATTTGACGATTTCTCGAGACGTGTTTCCGATGATAGTGCATTGAGATAGGGCAATTGATTCTCATGTCTCGACGGAGACGTATCCGTTCTTTTAGGTTCTTTGACATCAAATAAAACGAAGTACTAATTCATTACTTTTTCCTTGTTTAGGACCTTGACTCCTTCTCCTCCAAGGTCCTCTAAAGCTCTATTTTCAGCTAAACGTCAACTTATATTATGTGATGATTATAACTTTAAAATTTCCGGCATTGTAGCATAAAGTCGGATGTTTAATAATTCATTAATGCAGGTCTAAAAGTGTTCAGTCTTAAAAAACATATATTTGTTAAGCAAAGTAAAAATGTTTCGTGAAAACAATCAAATAAATTATAAAGTACAGCTGCAGACTTTAGTAACAATTTTCGCATTGAAGAATTTAAAGACATTATGAAAATCAAACACTATCCAGGAAAAGCGGTCATGGAGGACCCGTGGCTTTCGTTAAACGACAGAACTATGGATCTCGTTTATGCTGCCAACTGGGTCGGCGCAGAAAATCTAAACGATTACAACAGTAGCAGCAGTAGTCAATCAAATGGATCCAAATTTAATTCTATATCAAGAAGCAAATCGTGCCGCGATGTAGGCCGAAGCGTAGATAACGATCAATTTGATAGACCGTACGAAGCGGCACATAATGGATATAATTACTCAACCGAGTTTCCTAGCAATAACAATATATCACAATTAGCGAAGTATCAACAAGATATAGAAGAAAAAACCAGGTCTAATAGCAATTTGCTAATTCAAAATAAATTGAAACATAGTTATAGTTTTAAAGACATGCCCAATGGTTACAAACCCTCGACGTTAAGAAGAGTTAAGCGTAGAAATTTCACTGAATGGGACATAGATGCGTTCGGTAATGGTGAGCGACCACCTGTGCCACCACAAAGAAAAGAGTCTCTGAAATACGCTCACCGACAGCGGAAGGTAGACTCCAAAAAGAATTACTACCCACATCCCGACCCAGGTCCTGTACCTCCAGACCCATCGTCAGAATCGTATTACGAGTATTACTCCAGAGTAAGCCAGCAAAATAACGATACTGACAGCGATAAAATTAAACTGCAGAGGGATCCAAAGAAAGAGGCTTACAGCACGATTTCGAAAAACTCAAATGGTCTTGGAAAAGATGTGTACAATATCATCAACTCCATGGCGACTCTAGACCTAGCTCCTAACAAATCTAGGTCCGGAAAAACCAAACACGATAGGGATAGTGATGCGGAAAACTTCGGTTTATATAATAATCATGATGGATCTACATGCAAACAAATTCCTCCACACACAAAGCAAATTAACACTGAACGGAACGGTCGTGTAGACGATACGCGACCCAATTTTCGTTCTAAGTCATTAAGAGTGAAGAGTGACAGTAGAGCTCCGTTGAAAGCGTATTTGGACACAATGGAATATGGCGACAACGCTTTCAATAACGTTACTGTCACTCAACCGAAGAGGAACCTCTCTCCGAGCGAACAACTGACGTTAATGCAGTACGAAATGTGTAAAGGAAGTCAAAATCCGCCTCTACCGGTCATCAGTAACGGTTATAACTCAGTTAAATGGGGGAAAGAAAGTGACCATCGGACTAAAAACGGTGCCAATAGCACTGATAAGTACAGCAAATTATATAATACAGTGCGTGTGAAAAGTGACGACAGATATGATAGGTACAACGACATTTTATCTCCGGGGCAGCCCGGAGAGCGGATAAGCGAAGAACGTGTTAGTGATAAAGCGAAGAACGGTGCATATCGCAGTGCTAAAAGTTCATCCAGCGGTTCCGATTCGGACTTTTCTATACCGAGACCTAAACTCATTGTGCCTGTGCATACTTATGGTACACGAAAGCGAAGGACAGGGAACCTTTGTCAGCGCGATAGTACCGCGACTGAGTCGACGTTGGACGCCGGCATTTTGCTTGACGTGTCGCGTCTAGAAGACCAGACCAAAGAAAATCACCGGAATGGAAATTCAGGTAAATGGTTTAAGAGCTAGATTTAAATGATAAATTATACATTAATTCGCGCTACGATGATTTTGATTGATGCGAGTATTTTAGAAGGTTTCGAGGTCTTGCGGTTTTAATTAATAATTCTGTGACGTAATGACGGTATGAACGTAGGTGACATTGTCGGACATGATCTGTCAAGCTATACTTTTATGAGTATTTAAGTTTTACAGGTCTTTGAAGTATAGGATTTTATTCCGTTAGGTGTACAGTTAATAATATGGTACTTTACGACAGGTACCACTCTCACATGACTTAGAAAGTCTATTGCACACAAATAACAATATTGTATGAAATAAAAAAAATACCAAATACATTATTAATAAGTAGAGAAGAGATTTGTTATATGTTTCACTTATTGTTGCATATATATCCATAATTCAACTTATTCTTCTTATAATACAACATCAATATCGTCAATTACCAGACGTATCATCCTATATTAGACAAGGTATAGATTCACAGGCAATTAAAATTTGGTAACTTTAACAATATCATTCACTATAATAGATGTTGCGAAATGTTGCTTTGTTCTGTAATTCTCCGTATGTTAGAGATTGGTAAACGTTTCGCGTCGGGAATACGAATTAAACCTTGCCCCGGCGTGGCCTACTTGAGTGTTAAGCATGAATCAATCATCAGTAATTGCAGAACCTAATCAAACTGCAACATTAATAGCGCAAGAAAACGTAAATAAATTTAAAATATATGTTTAACGGCACTTTGGATTCAATCGGTTCGTCCTATTTCAAGCAAGACATTGTGTCCATATGGCCCGTTGTATTTATTAGCTGTGCTCGCGACTTTGTCCGCGTGGAATAGTTATTTTGGGTTACTTATTTTGTAACAATCTCCTCAGCTTTATTAATTATATTTGTAACCCACAGTCTAGAGATATACTGTCGCGGACATTTTTCGATCGTTTAAAGAAGAATCATTTTTCATACATATTCTTTGGTTTCACCGCACGTAATGGAAGCTCACATAGATGAATCATTTACACGTTTTCCATTGTTTTTTCGCTCCTTAAGCCTTCCTGGTCTATCCAGCACAAATATAAATGTTTAATTCGAAGCAGTACTTCCTAAAGTTAGCGCAAACAAACACACAAAGTCTTTAGCTTTATTATAACCACAGAGCTATACTGAATATATATATATTTTATTATATTTAGTATAGTTTTTTTTTTATATGACAGATTGAGAGAGACAAACATTGGCCGCAATCATTCCCGACATATGACACATAATTAAGTTGTGCTGTCGACCTTTTTCGTTTTGGCATTTATTTAAAATGTTCAAAGATTTTTCATTTGAATATACCATTTGCAACACAGTTACAAAAGTTGCCAGTTTATAACATAAAAATGATTCCATAAATCTAGTTAATGCACAATCAAAAACAAGGTCTTATGTTACTGCAACATTTGTTACTTAACTCCCCCCCCCACCTCCACTGTACTAACAATGATTCTATGAATTACAAACGCTCGCACGATAAAAATACTATAAACTTGAATGGGATTGAACTCTTAACCTATAATGTCTAATACATTGTACCTTGAAACACTTTCGAAGTTACAACGAAATATATATAGCATTTTTAGTTTTCTAGGTCTGGCCTAACTTATCAATATTCAAGTATGTATATATGAATATTTAAAGATTTATTTCACAACATTTAAATTTACTTCAAATGTCAAATTTATTCATTTACTTACTCTACTTTAATAGGTTGGTCTACTTGCAGCAATGTAGGGCTAATAATCAATGGGCCGTGGGTTCGATCCCCACCGGGTCCAACATATTTTAAATTTTTCAATTAATAATTTTTCTGAGACGTGTTGGACTTCATCTGGAAAACTGGATATTTAATGGGGAATAGAGGAATTCCGTCCGTTTCACGAACCACTGTACACAGATGGAAATTAAGTCTATAGTGAAGCTTTATTGCCTTTCGGTTTCAGTCTGTGGATTTCCGAATATCCGAACCAAAAATAGGTTGGATGCGCATCTTGTTTAGATGCTATAGGCATATCACCCAACATCGAGTGAACCTCACGCTTCACGAAAAAAAATACCAATTTTAGAATTGTAACTATTTTTGTTTGTCTGTACTCGTTGTTAGTCAAATCTTCGTACTGTGATAAATCACGAAAATTATGTTCGTTGTGCAATAATGTGCTTATGCGAATGAGTTTCAAATGTCAATTGACTAATTTGAAGTTTTGTGCGATCATTGTGTTTTACTAAATTATGTAAAAAAAAAACTTGCAATGATTTAAAATGCTATTAAATCTCTTTTAATCCTCTTGGAGTTCAGTGGTAAAGCCTGTTGCTTAGTTTTTTTAAGTCTTGTCCTAGGTTCAAATCCCGCGACAGAAATAATGGTTTAAATAAAACACTTTAACGGTTTGAAACGGTTAAAAATCATTTTCAAATAAGTTTAACTAATATATCGCGTTTTAAACCGTTAAAGTGTTTTATTTAAATGTGTACTACTCGCGTAAACTATAGACAGAAATAATGGTTATTCGCATAGGGACGGTATTTTGATTGAATACTTGCCTGCGTGATCTGTTAATGAAATAGACACAGAAATCTGTCTGCCAAGGAGAAACGGAATTTTTCACGTATAGACGGTTGCCATGGTAACGGATTCAAGTGTGACTATCAAAAGTATAGTGTTATTACGTATTACTCAATAAGGAAACGGATCATTTGGAAATATACTAAATTTTCGCAATGTCCTGTCTGCTCGTGAACATGAGTCATAGATCGGCGCCGAAACCTTGAATATTTATAGAAACCGGTTTATATTGAAAGTGTCGCGTATAGCTAAATCAATACCGTTGTTCTCGAAAGTTATCATAATAATTACATAATCTAAACAAGTAATTGGTTAATTGGTGGCAAATTAGACGTCTGTGCCCTGGCCGACCGAAACAGTGTTACTTAAAACTTAATTTACTCAAAATGTATATTCATGTCAATTAATACATTTTCTGAATCATCTAGTCTAATTATTATGTGGGCAGTAGGAATATTAGAATTCTCTCCCAATCACGACTACCTATGCACATATGAAAAAGCCATGAAATTTAACCGCGTTTCGGTTCAGTCTGTAGATTTCCGAATATCCAAGCCCAAAATAGACCGACAGCGCATCTTCCATCACGTGAATCCCATGCTTGTCTGGCCTCTAGCATATAAAGTGTAAATAAATTAAAGCAGGTGTAAATATCGATTACACAGGTTGCATTCGAAAACACGTCAGTTCGCGTCTCGTCTGAGACATTTTTTTATGCCCTGTTATTTTAATTTAATTATGCAATCATAAGTTATTACACTTCATTGCAATTATCAAATAAGGTCAAGTCCGAACTAGATGTGGGTAAAATAAATCAATGCTTTAATTATCGGATATTCGTTACAGATTGACGTACATGCAAACGCTACATTATTTTTTAAGTGTATCCTTTTTTGCTTATAAGCAAAGTGATTTTCACTAACTATATTTTAGCAGTACAAAAATCGCTAATATCAGTTAAATAAAACTGATGTAAAATGAATTGAAGCTAATAACATTCAGTTGAATTTTGTTTTAATAAAAGTAAGTTTTGTTATTTAGTCCTGGTTCTCATGAAACCACAATGTTGGAGTTTAACTATTGATAGATTATAAATATTTGAACTTACAAATAAAAAACACATTTCTGTCCGGGTCCGATCATTTTATTTACAGGCATGTAGTTGATCAGACTTCTATGCCCCACGGAAATAGTTTACGTTTCCCCGGGATTTGATCTCAGGAACTTACATTTAACGCAATGCTAGGCAACACGTTCAACTATTTAGTTACACAGGTCAATTAAACGTGTACATAAAAATCTATTAAAATGTGAATCTTTGGCAATGTGTTATTTTCTTGATACCAAAATAGCAAAGCTAAATAACGCTTAATATGGCAACATTATAAATTGTAACTGAATGTTCCCCAATGCCAAATTCTATGCCCACAGATTATAAACATCCGGTTTTTGACTTCCCACCTTTTATGCTACTTCCGTGTTCACGATTTAAATATGTAATATTCTATTAAATAAACATTTACATAGTCTGTATAAACGTAAACAATGAATAAAATTATAAAGACAATGGTTTGGCTAAGTTGTATTGGCGATTTTGCGCGCGTGGACACTTCCTTATAATGTATAAAGTTATTCAAACAAGGTTTTCTTATATCAATAAAGGAAGGATTCTTACGATCTCTTAGTTTATAGTAATTTCTATAATCGTGTAATTCTTAACTTTACCATCGGTTACATATAGAATTGATTAAGTTTAAAAAATATCTAAATATTCATTGTCACTTTATATTCTTTACGTGATTGCTTAAAAGTAGCACTGTCGAAATTAAACATAACATAACATAGACTAAAAGCTGTACGTAGCTTAATATAAAAAGATGGCGGCAAAAAGATTTCAAATTTTAAAGAAATCGACATGTTGGTATTGAGAAACGATTATATTTCGATTTTTTAACTGTTTTAAGCTTACTAAATACCTTTAGCTGCTCACGATGTTCTAGCTAAAAATTATTTTACTTGTAGCCAGAGCAACAAAGTTTATTTTCATCACATTAGATGATGTGACCTAGCTAACGAAAAATCATCCTTTGATCAGACAGGAAAATTAGAATTTGAATTAGAAGGTTCTAAGAGTAATAGAATAAGAATAAACGATAAGAAAACTAAGGGTTCTGTTTCAAATATTTAAACCTTAATTTTGTCAACAGAGGGCAAAGTGGAAGTGTCACGAGAGAACAAATACCTCAGCACAATGGCCCCAGGAAAAGTATTTGGTGAGCTGGCTATCCTCTACAATTGCAAGAGGACAGCCACCATAAAGGCTGCTACCGATTGTCGACTCTGGGCTATCGAGCGGCAATGCTTCCAGACCATAATGATGCGTACTGGGCTTATCCGGCAAGCTGAATATACGGACTTCCTTAAAAGGTAAGACTTTTTAATCATTTTTGACAAGTTAATACACACTATATTCACAACTTATATAGAACACTTTTAACGATTTAAAACGTGAAATTTATTACTTATTAAATAAACTTATTTTCATATAACGTATAGATTTGATTTTGATATTGGCATACCCACCATCTTTAATCCACCCGTTACAGCTGCTACAAAGCATTCAAAACGTCAGGCCATTTTTTCGGGTTTTAAACCGTTAAAAGTGTTTTTATTAAATACTACTTGCATAAACTAGACATTACTTAATGCTTATTATATATTTTTTTATAATATAGTTTACACATAAAACCCTCTGCTCTGGATATCTTATACATTTCTTTACCAATATTGTATTTGCGTTAATTTCTTGATACGAGCTTCATTTAGTTAATTAAATGAAACACTTTAACGGTTTAAAACGCGATAAACATTACTTAAACTTATTTAAAAATTACTTTAACTTCGGATACTTTGCGGCAGTGGAGACAGCTTCAATAAGTTTAATATATATCGCGTTTAAACCGTTACTGTTTTATTTAAATGTGTACTACTCGCGTACTGCAAACAGTATTTAGGCCTCATTTACTATTGTTATTTTTGGGTTTCCACATTTCCCTTTAATGAGAGGTTGTTTACATTTCTAAGGTCAGTAACCTCAAACAGTGACTTTCAATAACAAGCTCACTTTAATTAGAAAAACATGGCCGCCTATTTTGAGTTGTTTGGGTTTGTTCTACCATACTTGGAATATTTAGATCGGTTCAAAGTAAACAATCAGCTATGAACGATTAAGAAAAAATACACGTGTTAATAAAATATTTTCAAGCTAGCAACAGTTGAATTATACGCCAAAATTAAACATTAATATTATTTAAAATAAAATTTAACTCTACACAGGTGTAATAACGATAAACAAAAAAATATTTATTTAAAAGAATTTTGCTATAATTCTAATAATTTTCAGAATAATAGTTGTAATTTGGATAGCGCTAATAATATTTTTTTGGTAAATTAGATTTTTTTTGTAACAGAGTTTTTTTTGTAATAGACAAGCATGTGGTTCATGGTGAAAAGTATACCACAGCACTATAACATCTAAACTATATGCGTTCTTCACGTATTATGGCTTTTGATATTCTGAAATCTACAAACTGAAATCGAAACGCGTTTATTCAGCAGCGCTATTACCTGTGGACGGTGGTTCGCGACCCAGTCGATATTCCCACCCATTGAATATCTAGAGTTCCAGACGAAGTCCTAACCTTTTCAGGAAAAATATAAATTTATTAGAAACATTCTGGATTCGGCGGGATCGCAACCACCAGTAAAACCCGTCATAAATTGTTTTTGCTGTTTGTTTCACGACATTTGTATGCAAGCATCCAATCGACGTATTTAGAATGCCTATTAGTTTATAACACAACCCGTGCACTAAACACTCGTCGACGCGTCTAGCGATTACATTTTTTTTTATGATAGTGGAGAACAGACAAGCCTCCACATGCTTCATGAAAGGAGAAATACTTTAGCTATATCTAAACTAACGCGTTTTATAACCTATTTTTACCTCTGGTATTGCAATGCAACCAAATCATGCGACTGGCGATACGAACGGCGACTAATAAAAGCATTTACACAGAAGTAAGGAAGTGAAAACCCGGTTCTCCTCGTAGGGCATGGGGCGAACACATTTCTGTGTCCGTTTTACTGATCGGTTTTATTTACAGGCAAGTAGCTGATCAGACTTCTGTGCCCTACCCGGAAACATTTTATGGTTTCCCCGGGATTCGAACCCAGGACCTCTCGCGCTATACGCACTGCGAGGGAACACGTTCAACCATTTAGCTACAGAAGCGTTTGATCCCTTCGAAATCCTTCCCATTTACACAGCAGGAGCAACAAAATCGCACAATTGTTCGCTTCACCGCTCGCACATCTATCTAGCCAGGCATTTATCATTTTGAAAATGCTCAAACAGACCTTTATAAGGCCAACGCCCCGAGACACTTATGCAAATGCTATAGTCCCATTCTTCTGCTTTCATCGCCTTGTGACTTGTATGTCATATCCACTCTGAAATATTGCTTGGTCATACTTTCTTAAAGAGCGACTAGAAACTTGGCAGTAAAAATTATCATAAGTTCTCTGAAGTTAGCTTTGTCGTATTTTTGCATACATTAAACATATTTTATTAATAACTATTTTGACTGCATATTTTGTTATGATAGAGGAGGACAGACAAGTACTTGGCGGTAGATGAAATACCGCAGCCAACATCTAAACACGATGCGTTGTCGACCTGTTTTGGCTTTGGATATTCGGAAATTCACCGGCAGAAACCGAAACGGGATTGAACCTCACGGGACCTTCATCTGTGGGCAGTGGCTCGTGGCCCTGAAGGGTTCAGGGTTCAAATTTCAGATTGGGCAAATGTCGGTATTTGTTCTACAAAAGATTTTAGCAGGGATTTAAGTAGGCGTTTGGTCGCCGGGTAGTATTTGATTAATATTGAATATACATGCTTTAATAGAAGCCTAATAAGACACAGATGCGGTACGACCACCCCAACTGAAGAAGCCTTCTAAAAACGTTTTGCTTGATTAAATCACTACTTGTGGTATCACCTTTCAAGAAGCTCCTATTCCAAAACTTGGCATATGACATTTAAATTTTATATATTTATATTTATATGTATAGTTATAATAGTTTTACCTTCAAGTGTTGTAGAGTATTAATTTAGAATTACGAAATAGTCGCGGTAATCTTATACAATTTAGTATTTCATACATATATATACTAATGTTATAAAGCTTAAGAGTATGTTTGTTTAAACGCCCTAAACTCAAGAACTACTAGTTTGAATTAAACTTTTTTTTAAATAAAACACTTTAACGGCGATATATTTTAGTTAAACTTATTTGAAATTATTTATTATTTTTAACTACGGCACGACGTTTCCCCGTGACCATGGCTGCTACAAAGCATCCGAAACGTCGGGCCTTAGTTAAAGTGTTTTATTTAAATGTGTACTACTCGCGTAAACTACAGACAGTATAGCTGCAGCATACTTATGAATCTATTTATATAGAGTCACTAATGGATGAATTACAAGGAAACTGTAAATCCGGTGCTGTCAATCACCTCTACGCAACTGCTTCCCGTGAAAGTAAGGCTCGCTTGTCCTTCATGCGAATGCAATATGTCGTATTTAGTCGTGGTGGGTGTTTTCGTTTGATGCACCTGATCTTAGCCAATACGTCTACTAAATTTGACTAAACATACAATACTGTGTGTAGTTTACGCGAGTACAAATTCAAATAAAACACTTGACAGTTCACCGTCACTTCGTGACTACGGCTGCTGCAACGCATAAACGTTTGTAGTGTAGTTAAATAATTTGTTGTGTGTGTACATTTCACGTTTTAAACCGTTAAGAGCATTGTATTTGAAGAATAATTGCAATTTTTACCAAAATAAGGATATTTGTTTAAAGCCATATAAATCTGTGGTTAAAATAAATATTTAAAAAATCTAATACACCTTTGGATCCAGGGCGCTTTTCTAATCGCGTTTAAACCAGTTAAATGGTTTTTATAAGTGCAATTACTGCTTTTTGTTTAACTACAATGCATAACGTTTTATGGGACCGTAAACTATAAATAATCGTGTTTTAATCCGTAAGTATTATTAATATCAGCTTATACTTTTGAATCAAATCGGTTTTCCGTTGGAATTTTAGAGAAACCTAATAGTTTCGTTCGGACAGGGCACAGGTGTGTGGTCTTTTTTTCTACATACAAAAGCGAGCACTTTGTGATACGAAATCATGCTGTAGTGGAATATTTTATCTGTTCACCATACTTATGAATGTTTATATAACAAAGAAATTTGTCTCATTATGAAATCCGACACTTAATGCACGTGCACTTGTAGAAAGTTGAATTAATTTTGCGTGTCATGTTACTGTATCGCCCAGAGCTTCTTTGAAACCTACGTTTTAAAATTTGATATTCATGCTACATAATTTGTGCGATAGAATTCGCATCTTTGTTTGTGGCGCATGCGCATAAGATTCTTTACGTTCACCGATCAAGTACACAAAATTTCACGATTTCCAGTTCCAGTACTACGTCTTCGACGTCTACTGTACGAGTAGTTTTTAAGTATTAGTCGCATTTACATTGCTGTTCTCTAACCCAAATAAAATTAGCGGCGAAGTTAAAATTTGAGCTTTGAAAGTACGATTCGTAATAAAAGAATTCTTCTAAAATTTGAGTCACTATTAAATACATTGTTTTGAATTCAGGTTTTGATAAAAGCTATTTGTATTCACATTCAAAGCTTGTAAGATAAAGATTCAAATACACAAATAAGACCGGGCTTTCCCCACAGTAGTAAACAAGGCCGGAATATTGCAACCGAGATCGTAATATAATTGAAAGTGAACTGTTTGTATTCATGTGAGCAACTGGTCATGTTTTCGAGTTTTTTTTAAGTCAATGGTCTGCTATAAACGTAGGTACAGCGTAACGCGTTACACCATAGGATTGTGTCAAAACAGCTGTTAATAATATACAATGCATATTCGATATTTGAATGATTCGAAATATCTTCGCTTTTCAAAGTGCTTTTCTATGTCGTAGGCTTTGACATGCTAACGTGTGAAAGAGACAAAAATAGTATCTATCTATACTAATATATAAAGCTAAAGAGTTTGTTTGTTTGAACGCGCTAATCTCAGAAACTACTGGTTAGAATTGAAAAGTTATTTTTGTGTTGATTAGAGCATTTATCGAGGAAGGCTATAAGGCTACAAAATATCGCGTTGCGACGAATGGGAGCGATATAACAGCGGAAAATGTGTTTGGTGTGGGAAAAATTATTCATCCTTGTGGGTTTCCGTTACGTACGCTGCAAAAACGGTTAAAGTTACCCTAACAATTTGTATAAAAGAATGAGAAGAAACAAATGTCGGTGACATATTTATCTATCTTTAAAGATTAACTTGCAAGAACGACGTTGTGGGTAACAAAATTTGATACCTAAAATAACTAGTGAAAAGTCGCTAACACAGCTTGTATGTATATAATCGCCAGCAGTTTATCACGTGCCGCTATACTCTATCGACAGCGCTTATAGAAGACCACAGCCTAAGATATTAAAGCGAGTAAAACAAAGCTATTGTTGAAGCCTGTCACATCGGTTGCACAAGTCTCGTGTGATACACTTTGCGAAATGTTTTACGTTAGCGACTTCGTGACTTTTGGATTTAGCCTTTCACTGGCTCCTTATAAAGATTGTTCAAAATAAATAAATATACGGCGTATTTGTCAGCAAGTAGATCGATGCAAGATCTTAAATTCTTTTGGCCTTGTGTTAATTCGTTGATCGTCAGTTGTTTCTTAAGATCAATAGTTACTCGTACTTGACTTGCGTAAGCCGATTAGAATCTTTCCAAGAACTCAGTTGGTAACCTACCATGCTAAGTCTTAATATAAACGTGTAATTAATTCGTTCTCTAATTCTAACTACGATCCGACGTTGTGGATGCTTTGCAGCATTTTCACTTGTTAAATTTAATATAACAATTCAAATCAATATGTTATTTTTTAAACCATTAAAAGCGTTTTTATTTAATGTTTATTACTCACGTAAATTATAGACAATATGACGATGCCATTGTATACTTGTAATTTGTTTTACCTTTCCATAAAATTTATTACGTTGTTAGTACCTTTACATAACTTACAAATGCTGTCTTTTTTCAATTTTCTTAAAAATATACTATCTTAAGACGTATTGTACTTTACATTCGCTTCTTGTTGCCCATAGTAGAATAAAGTATTTAGACTGTGCTATTGTTTATTTCAAATAACAATAGTATTGATATTCAAAGCGTTGAAATAGCATTGTCTTTTTCCTGAGAAAATGTTTAGGACATGATATTTAGTAAACATCCTAATGGCTTCACGCCAAAGTAGTAAGACATAAAAATAAAATAACTCGTTAGAGGCAATGACGTGATCTAACACATGAGTGACACAGAGAAATAATATATACTGCCGTTTTTTTGTTGGTATTATATAGTGATATTTTTTCTTATTAAAAGAGGATCACTCCACAGAAGGTACCTCAGCCATATAACATCGCATCAAGAAACGCTACCAATCTATTTTGGCTTTAGTTATTCAGTAAACCACAGACTAACCGAAACGCGATTAAACTTCCAGGCTTTACACTTAATTTTCATCTATCAACGTTGGTTTGTAACCCGGACAGAATTTCGATACTCCTAACTCCCTTTAATAAGCAGAATTAGAAAAATCTTATAGATTAGAAAATGTTGGACCCGTTGGGCATCGAACCCCCGACCTGTTGCTTATTGTACAAAGCTACTATTACACCGACGAGCCTATCATAGCAACAAGCATAATATCTTAGATAAGTGTAACTTTGTGAATATCATATTTTGCTTTCAACTCGGTCAGTAAAAGATCATCTTAATATGTTTTATTGCCCTGGGTCAGAAGTTTAGTTTCCAGTTTTCTCAAATCTCTGTTATAAACGGCAAAATAATATATATTCGCTGCCTTGACTTAGGGCTTATATAATTTTCCTACAATTTCTTTTAACACCAGAGGTCCTAAATCAAACTTCCGTGAAAAATTGAAAAACGTAAATGATAGGTTAAATTGGTATAGCACCAGAGGTTCTGCATTTCTGGCTAAATCAATAAATGCAGTATAATCAGTGAGACGCACAGTACGTCTCTTTCCATTGCGTCTTCCGTGAGATAGAAGTGATAGAGCTATATGGGTATTTTATAATGAACTGGTTCCTTTCCGGAATGGTCTTTCATAATTCACGCAATAATGATGAATTTCCCGGTTTGTACTAACGAGTCTGGTACAGTCCTCGACATACTTGCTGGTATTGCCATGTTATCAATCATCTTACAATATTGTCATGATGTTAATTTACTCCTAATGACTTACTTTGCGGTCTATGTCACCCACTATTTTGAGTTCGTGACTCATTACAAAGGCTTAATCGAAAATGTTCTGAATCTCTGACTTGAATTTCGTAACAACGATATTTAATATCTTTTGTTTAGTGAAGCGTAACTTTATGCTTCATCAAATTAAAAATAGTAAGATCGATTCGGTTTATTGCAAGTCGACTGTTGACATATTTATTTTTATTTTATTGTTTGTTTGTTTCTTTTTATTTATTATGATATAAACTAGGACCTACGTTATTTTGAATCTTCGCTAAAGTTAGGCATTCGATAAAACGAATGGTTGGTTAAATATTTTTTCGTTTTAAATTGCATTAAACAGAACACTTTCCCGGAAAATAACATATATGTTTACTACTTAAAGAAAACACTTTAACGATTTTAAACGCGATATATACTCGTTAAACTTGTTTATAAATTATTTTAACGGCCCGACGTTTCGTATGCTTTGCGGTAGCCGTGGTCACGGGAAGACTATAGATGGAAGCTGTCTCTGACGTCAAATTAATCAACTTTAACTAATATAAATCGCGTTTTAAACCGTTAAAGTATTTTAATATAATATATACTATTGGCATAAACTAACTTTGGATTATCTACCTTAGATTTTCACAAGTATCTTTTGAATTCCAATACCAGCAGAAAGACCAGAGCGAGTAACATTTACGAAACCTTGAACTTTTACCGAAACCGACGCGTTGTAGACTGTTCTCTTCTAAAATTAAATCGCATTAATTAAATTAATGTAGCGCGTATCTTAAATAACCTTAACATTCTACTTTCATAGTAAATGACCGTGAAATATTCCGTTCATAATTATCTCTGCATATAACTGGGTACCAACATTGTCTGTTACTGAATGGTTCGAACTTTGTTATTTCGAACAACCATGTATTGCTCCGGTGGGAACCGAACCCACGAACAGTTTGATCAATCCGTATTTCCTCATAACGTGTGTGGTTTAATTTCAACGAGTGTTTCATCATCAATTCGCATGCATGAGTGGCATATTAGGTGGCAATCTGCATTGCAATATTCAATTGCTTATTTTACAGTCCTTAACTCGTTTTATAACTGCTTTTGTGTAATTATTAGTGATGTGCTGATTGTTTCAACCGAAGCCGAATTATTCAGATTCGTTCCAGTAAAATCTACAATAATAGCTACTGCTTTCCTAGTTTAATGGTTAAACGCGTGGCCAACCAATGCGTCCCGGGTTCGATTCCAAGAAAACAATTCATCTCGGTGCCTTCGCCAAACAAAACAAATTGCTTAGGATTTTTTGTTTAGTGTTTTTGCTTAATTTGAGTGACCCACTTGCCACTAAATTAAATCCATCAAAGAATCGACCACATAATTGTGTCCCCCATACCCCACTAGGAGAATGAGGATTTACTAAAATAATAATATAACAAACATAACAGCCTAATAATAATACAAATATTTAATAGTAAGTAAACATTTTAAGTGAATATTTATTACTTATTCTCAGCCGATTGACGATGTTCGGTTAAATCTACGACAATTCGGTTAAACCGGTCAGCCCGTTCCTATTAATGACAAAGAAATTACTCATTAAGCAATCCGGTCGAGCTCTACATATTTGGTTTTGTTCTTGGATATTAGACATCTATAGCCTTTTTACGTTCTAATACCTATTAGAGGCCTAACAAGTTACGTCACACATTGTTTTGTAGTAAAAATAGTACTGGTATTTTGTATGTGTATGAGGAAAATATTTTATTGTATGCACTAGAATTTTGTAACACATACCACAACACACACACACACCACAAAACATACACACACAATAGACACATTTTGCAGCTTTTTTATATCGCATCGCTAGCCTATAGCATCGAAACAAGATTTGTTGTCGTCCTATTTTGGCTTTCGCCATTCGGAAATCCTAACCGAACCGAAAAACCGAAAATCCGAAACGTAAACTTCGCGTAATTTATCATCTGTGGACAGTGGTTCGTGATCCAGACGGAATTTTCGATATTCCTACCACCTATTTGATATCCACATTTCCAGATAAAGTCCAACACGTTTCAGAATTGATTAGAAAAATGTCGGACCCGTTGATTATTAGCTACCATCAGACCAACGAGCCCGTTAGTTTTATATAAATATGTATTCGATGTTGTATTACAAATTATTAATTGTTTTACAGTGTCCCCATCTTCAAGAATCTACCCGAAGACACGCTCATCAAAATATCTGACGTTCTTGAAGAGACACATTATCAAAATGGCGACTACATCATTCGGCAAGGCGCTAGAGGAGACACATTCTTCATTATTTCTAAGGGACAGGTAAGGGTTGAGTTTTACATGTATAGACTTCTGTGCCCTGGTCGACCTAGACTGTTATATTTATTAAAAAAGACTTAAACGGTTTAAAACGCTAATTAAATTTATTAACAAATTATTTTAATTATGGCCCAGCCTTGTACGTTTTAAACCGTTAAAGTGTTTTATAATTCAAATTCGAACACGTGACCTCTCGACCTTCCTAGGTTTTATTTGATTTTTTAATACTTACATAGTTACATACCTTAATTACTTGCATTAATTTCATGGGAGGTCCCCCCGAATGTTTTTTAAATTACATAAATTGTGTAGTTACATAAATTCATAGTTACTATGAATTTTCTTCAAATCTTAAAGGGCATTGAAAAAGTAGTCTAGCTCATTTGTCATGTCAAACCTTATTAAGTACGAATTAGGAATAGGTACATCAATTTAATTTGATCCGAAATTAAATAAAACACTTTAACGGTTTAAAACGCGATATATTTTAGTTAAACTTGTTGAGAATTATTTTCAACTAAGGCCCTGTGTTTCGGATGCTTTGCAGCAGCCGTGGTCACGGGGAGACCGACCCGTGACTAAAAATAATTTCAAACAACTTTAACTGAAATATATCGCGTTTTAAACCGTTAAAGTGTTTTATTTAAATGTGTACTACTCGCGTAAACTACAGACAGTATTTTGATCCGAAACTTTCATAAATACTTCTATAAAATTTTACAAGAAAAAAGCAAAAGATATTACAGTGACGTTATTTAGCCATTAAATATCTATTATCGTTGATGTCATGTGAATGTCAGTAGAAATTCCAATAGTTTTGTCACGACAGCGATTTATCACGTCGTGTTTGGATTTCGTTCGGCTCGACCACGTGGAGATGCGCAAGAGTCGAAACAATTTCACTTTCGTTCCGCCGACTGGCTTTCTGTCTTTCAACCGCGCTTTTATGTTTTGTAAACAGATTGAAGATTGGCGTCGCTTTTTCTTTGAATGCAAATTATACACGCTTAACCTTAACAGAATTGTTTCCAATTGGCGTTTGACATGAGAAAAAAGTGACATTTAACAATTATAGACGTTTGTTTACCTGTTCTAGCGACAACAGTCATTAACTACTACTATAACGAATATTACCAACATTTATATTTTTAGTAATTAATACTTAAGTAGCTCATTTGATTTCAATATAATTAAGCTAGTTATTTAACTGTATATTAGTATAGATATGGAATAAACTACTCTGTCCTGTAACTATAAGTAATACAACGTACAAAAAGTACTATGAATAGAGTACGGTGTCAATTACGTACAGGAATTGAGAAATTCTTACAAAGGCACAATTACTCGGTAGCAAGCTACTAATATCTGTAATCGGTTTATGTAACTTTAATTTTTATCTGCAATTTCACTTTCGTTCTTTTAATATAAAAGAAATCTGCTTTTAACATCGAAATTACGATTATGGCCTGGCATTTGACAGTTTGTGGCGAACGTAATGATTTGAGCCATTAAAGATTTTGTACAAAGAAATTTCCGTTTGGTTATTTCTTCAAACCATTTTAGACAACATTATCGAACGACGGGACGCCTGACGGTACTAAAGTCAACTAGAGACTGACCGGTACCATAACGCGTTACGTTAATAAGCCTCCGTTTCTGTCTCCCTGCATGTTTGCAGAGGTGAAGTTCCTAACTGATTACTTCACTAAGAAAAAATAGCAAGCTCAAATCTCAATGCGCACGTAACAGAATTATTAGGTCCCCACAAGGTGACCACTATCAAGGCCGGTGGTCCAAGCCCGTATCACTGCATTGTAATCGACGATAGAGTTATTGTGTGTATTTTTTGTGGGACTCTTACCTGAATTCATAAACAGAGAGAAGACAAGTACCACAATCAGAATATCTACAGCCAAAATAGGGCAACCGCGCATCTTGCTTAGATGTCTTATCTGTTCTTGACTCGCCAAAGAGCACAAAATAATAAAATAAATACGCAGGTTGCATGACGTTTAAAATCATTATTCTACTATCGTTAGCTAGCAAGGTCACATATGAAAGTCCGCTAAATAAACGCCTTATAATTATTATATTAAACTTTTCTGGGTACAGTGATTGTGTTAAGTGGTTTACCTTGGCATTTAACTGCGGCGATATTTTCTGCACAAGATAGACATTCTAGTCGGATCGAAACTAATTATTTAATAGCTTGTGTTTAAATTTATTTTGATATATTTTATAGCTTCAGGGATGTTTTTTTTAACACGTTGAATGTCACTTGAATTCGCTTGTTTATTTCAAGCACTTATTATTTATACTTGAAAATAAAGTAATATGAATACAGTATGTTATACACCAGTTTTAAGAGTCCAAGTTCACTAATTTTTTTTGCATTAAAACATATGTAGTCATTCTATACCGGCTAAAATTAATTACAACTAAAACTTATATAAATTAATACTCGATTATAAAGTGAAAAAAAATACGACTCAATTGAGTTACCGAGTCTTTTTTTTATATTTACATAAAAACACAGATTTCATTGAAAATATTATAAGATGTTACACAAACCTATTCAGGTTTGAATTCAGCTATTCTATTCAGCTTCTTGGTTAGAGCAACAGCACGGAACGCCATGGATGCCGGTTCAAGACATGCCCGAGTCTTAAAATTTTAAATTTAAGTTCGATTTTGTAATTTATTTACTATCATGTGAAAAATATTAAAGTCTACAACTAAAACTCATATATTAAACAATTTTCTCAAACAACCGTATTATTTTTACTATTTTATAATACGTATGCAAATTGAGTAATTTATCATATTAGGCCCATTGTAATGTAAGGCTTTTGTATGGCAACTAGGGTTGGGCTGATATTCGGTTTACTCTAATTTCGGCAGATCGATCCGAACTTGTACATTAACATTAGATTTTATATACTGAATGGCTTTAGAATCAAGTGAAATTATTGTCGCTTAGTGACAAAGACACTAATTAATTTGACGCGCTCGTTGGTGTCATGGTAGAAATGTATCTCTAATAATCAAGGGGTGTGGGTTCGATCACCATCGGGTCCATCATGATTCTAATCGATTTGTAATTTTTCGGTGACAAGTTGTACTTTATTCGGATATTTAATGCGAGTTAGAATAACGAAATTCCGCCCGGGTAACAAATCACCGTCCATGGATGAAAAAGCTTTTTAGTTTATTATTTATCTCTTCGGTTTCAATATGTGGATTTGCAAACCAGCAATATTGCAGAGCATCTAGTGTAAATGTAATATGGCGCTCGGTTATATCACCTATTATCAAGGGAACCCCATGCTTGTTTGTTACCATACTAACCCCCTCCTACTAAGATTAAAATAATTAATCTATAATATGTGTCATGTAAATATTGTAACGTTGCTACTACAGGTTAAACGCTAAAGTGGCTTTATTGATTAGAATCACTACGAAAAATATATGAACCGAATTTTCAATCTATGAGCTTCGGTTCGCATCACATCCGGGCCATCACTAGCAGTAACGATAGTGACGTGTGACTAAAATAAAATGATGCAGAGGCTGTAAGGCCACTGTCAGGCTATTGTATACAAGGTCATTGTACGGCGCAAGAGCAAGCGATAATCCACTTTTTGCCTTAACTAAATGACCTTCGACGAAACATTATTTGACTTGAGGCTTGGATAAAATGTTTAAAAGTTTGGTTATAGTTTTGGATATACATGATGCCTATGTAGTGAGGACCACGTTTTATATATTTCTCTTTTAAACCGTTAAAGTTATTTATTTAATTGTGTCCTACTCGCTTAAACTGCAGACAGTATGGTTAGTATAAACACGTAATGTAATGCATAACAGTTAGAATTTTTCATCGTATCTAGATTACATTAGTCAGCCAATCAGTGCACGAAGATCTAACTGGGCACTGAGCACAGTTGCATGTGAGTGAAAACCTTTTCTAGTGCTATGCATTTCTAAGCCAGTTAGTTCACTGGACTAGCACTAAAAACGACGACTAGAAAGGACACGTTTGGGTGGAAAAATCCCAAAGAATCGAATATGTTTATACAAATTTATGCTACAGTGTGGCGAAGTGAATAATTAAGTTGGCACTGTTTATTAAACTTGCGAAATGCGTTAATGTGCCTCTATGGGGCATGGGGCATGGGGCGAACACATTTATGTGTCTGTTTCATTGATTGGTTATATTTAATAGTTGATCAGACTTCGGCGCCCTGTTAGACCGAAACAATTTATTGCCCAAAAGAGCCAAATTAACAAGACAATTCTTATTAAACTTCTAGATGTTACTATTTTATTTTTTGAATGCTTAATGGTCACGGGGAGGCTGAAGATGGAGAGTTTCTAATATCAAAGTAAAATCTGCTACTGAAATGTCTTGACGCAGTTAAAATAATTTAATAAATATCTAATATATTATGCGTTTAAAATCGTTAAAAGTGATATTTAAATTTGTACCCGCGTAAACTACAGACGGTACTCAACTTTATACATATTGAAAGGCTTGCATATTTTTTCACGTGTCAAACTATTTCTGGCGAACTGTTCCGAATACTAGCGTAATCCGCGATTTCTCTAAAACGTAAAATGATATTGTAGATCCGAAACGTATTACGCAAATTGTTAAAAAAACGAAAGTAAACAGTAATCTACCAGAATCGAGCCAACTGAAATTATTGTATAACTGTTAAATATTTGAAACTGGCCCGTTTCCTTTATCTCTTACGGATGTTCGTAATTGGCTATATATGGCTTGTTCCTGAAGCAATGGGAATATTAACCAGTTTAACCGGAATTGTTATTACGACAGAGTTAATTGCTCTTACGAAACGTCATTATTAGAGAACTGTTAGGCTGCAGTCTCATTAACGCGTGGTCAGTACATGTTACTGTAAACGACGATTCCAATTGGTATTTCTGGCAGACCGGAGCCTTGGATGGTTATTATAAAACATGAGTCGTCATTTTATATTATACAAGTATTTGGACTAAATTTCATTAATATAAAAATAAGATTCTTGTCAATTAATCTTAAAAGATAGACATATTCAGACGTCGACATTGTTTTAGATTATATAACGAAGAAAAATTCTTTTATACACATTTTTTGGGTAACATTATACGTCTCTGCAGCGCACACAACGGAATCCAAATCCAAAGGTCAATAATTTTCCTCGTTTTTTCCACATTTTCCATAGTTTCTTCTCTCCTATCGGGCGCAGTCTGATGTTTGATAGCCTTCCTCGACAAATGGTTCGAGCTACACAAACATATTTTTTCAATTCAAACCTGTAGTTCTTAAGATTAGCGAGTTTAAAGAAACAAAATCTTCAACTTTATAATAATAGTAAAGAATTCATTTTTAAACTTCGCTAAAACCGTTTTTTTTTAAAGTTATTCTTCGACTTTATTTTGTGCAAAATACGCATACCATTATAGATAAGAACTACTTTAATGTTTTTTAAATTACATTGTCATAACGCAAATATAATCGTAACAAAAAAGTTACGACAAGAATTCATAAAACTTTTTAATACCGCCTCGCTATGCTTTATTTAACTTTTCAATTCATCGGAAAATGTCAACCACGGTACTCCACTTTCCATTTATTTTCCACGATTCGCTGAGCAGCCCGATTTAATTTGGTTGCTCAGTTTCGGAAATACCGTGAAATAAAATATTACATAATTACTGTGTGTGAGTAGAACACATTTGTATAAAACAATTTTAACCGTTTAATACAGGTGATATATTAGAGAACTTATTTTTTATTAAATTGGACCCGTCATTTCGAATGCTTTGCAACAACCATGGTCGTGGGGGTCCCTCCGTTTTGCGTTTTAAATTGCGTGTTTATTTAAATACATACTGCCTAATTATTGAAACATTATAGTAACACATATTTTTTATAGAAAGAATTCAAAACAAATATTATAAACGACCGTGAACTGTATAATGTTTTTTAAAGACGAAGTAATTATTATTTAACTGATGTTTTTTAAAGACAAATTTCTTTACTAATTACATTTTGTCTGACGTTACAATTGTATCGTTTTCACAATTTCTTTAGTTTTGGGAAAATCGATGTCTTTTACAATGAATTGAGATAATACATTCCTACCGTTGTATGTATTTATAATGCGTATAATTATTATTGTCACAGTGAAATATGTAAAGCTGGACAATGAAAAAAGTAAAATATTCGGTTACTTTTTTATGAGTTACGAAGTAAGGGGAGGCTGGGGACCTCCTTAACCAGTAAAATATATTACCGCTATCTATTTACTTATTTTAATATGTGTTCATAGATAGCGGTTGGTTGTTACAATATGGAATTAAATGCTAAGAGGTTTATTAGTTATTGTGTAGTGTATTAATAATATTCTACTAGTTTGCCTAAATCTTCTGAATATGAACACGACTTTTTTTACAGGTCAAGGTAACGCAGAAGCAACCCAACAGCAATGATGAAAAATTCATAAGAACTCTCACTAAAGGCGATTTCTTCGGCGAAAAAGCATTACAAGGGTGAGTCAGCGCATTTTTTAATTTTACATTACCTGTTTGTTGTGGGACTTGACAACCACGAAGGTTACCTTACTGTTGTAATAACAAGCTTTATTTGAAATCATAATAGTTACATGATATTGCAGACTTCTAATTATTTTTGCCTCTGTTCCTCAATCACGCTATGGTCGTGTGTTCGAGTGGCGCTGTTGTGACTTTCTCGTCTTATGTATCTAAACGCGCTTACCTCGAAAACTACTGGTTCGAATTGAAAAATTCTTATGATGTGACTGATGGTCAGTCTCCCGTGACCACGGCTGTTGAAAAGTTTCCAAAACGTTCAACCGTAGTTAAAAGTAAAGTGTTGATTAGTAGATTAGTAGTAGTCGCTTTTTAAAAGTATTGTATCCTAATGTCTATACTCGCGTAAACAGTACTTAAAACTATACACATTACTTTTAGCTATATTCATTTTGCGATCGCAATGTAATTTAATTATCACACACATTAAACCTACGACCCGTCAGTTCTGTCTCGTCTATCTAAAACAGATCTTATTTTATCACAAATGTCAAATTCAAATATTATCAAAACAGCATATGCTATGATACTATCTGTTACACTTTATCAACTAATAAATCACTGATAACTTCTAAAATTAGTATGTAAAATGTTTGCTCTTGTAGTGTGGCACTTATCAAAATGTTCTCGTCGTGAAGAACGATTTCATATATCTTTCTATTATGGAAGATTTAAAGAAAATAATACTTATATGTGAAACTTTCTTTCTCGTCGACAGTCCATTAACAAATCAGTGTAAGAAAGTATTAGCACTTCTTTAAGCGACAGTTATCAGTAATACTCTTAAATTCTCTATTTACCTTTATCTAGTTTAAAACCTGTTATATTTTTATAGCTTTTTTAAAGTGAGAGTTGTAAACTCTAGAGAGTAGACTAGATTAAGTTAGGGAGATATTTTCCGTACTCTAATCGAGTTGCATTAAAATAAACTCTGAACGGCTTTAAAAGCGATTTTTTTTTATATTTAGGTTTAGGCACTTGAGGAGTAAACAATTAGTACCTGTGGCTATGAGCTAAAGACCAATTTTTCACTTTCGCAAATCGAAATTCTCTCTCAAATATATCGCCCACTCTAAACAAAAAATTCTTGAATTTACCACTATTTCCATGAAATTCGTGACTCAAACGTAAGATGAAGTCAAAATACACATTGTATATCACTCTTTCTTGGTAATTTGATGTAACTTAAACGATATTTGCCAATTAACATTCATAACTCAGAAGTAACTCCAATATTTTGTACTGTACCTCAATAGCATACTTGTTACCACTACTTATATGGGCTAAAGTGATGATTTAATATCTTTCTTACAGAGACGATCTTCGAACGGCGAACATTGTCTGCGACTCGCCAGAGGGCACCACATGTCTCGTTATCGATCGAGAAACCTTCAATCAGTTGATCTCGACCCTTGACGAAATCCGCACCAAATACAAGGACGAAGGCGACGATAGACAAAGGTTTGTTCTTCTGTACAATTCCCACATGCCGAACATCAACAGCTCTTTTAACGGTGAAGTCTATTAAATACTACTCTATTAAAAACTAGCCTTTAAATTTATTAAAGGACAGTTGGACAATAAAATTTACAAGAAATAGTAGATAATATTACTATTGCTAGTAGAATCATATTTCAATTGAATATTGAGATTCCTTTAAAAGAAGCAAAAGAATATCTTCATTCCCTAGATTATAAAACGATACGAGACCTTAGCCAAGCAAAAAAAATATTTTATCTCACAAACAGAATCTTAGAATAAACGTGTCTAATGCTAACAATTAACTCGATCCAAACACATCCTATGTCAAGTTCACACAAAAAGTGTGACTAAACACTTTAGCCACACAATGGTTCTGTTCAAATCTTGGAATGTCTCAATGGCATTGTGTGGCTTATCTTTTTATTAGCAACACTATTTCGGACACACTGTACGATCTCATTGTAACCCGTTCTATTTTTGTTGATGCTGGCATGGATTTTGTTATGGTAAGTACTGAATGGACAATACGGCTGTGCTAATTTAGGCAGTATTCGTAATACCAGCCACCCGAAAGGCTCGGAACGCTATCTTTTATTAGAAAAAAAAAGTTTGTTAATTATTACTTACTATTTAAATCTAAAGTAATCAATTTGCGACTCAAACTTTCTTTAAGTTAAAATGCATACAAACTTTTAAAAACATACTTCGTTCCTTACTTGAAATTGTGACTTTCACCAGAAACCTAAGTATAGTGGAAGTAGAGGTTATTAACTTTCCTACATGACATAGAAAACATATAGTTTTTGCTCGTGCAACAGCATTTATAATTCACGCGTTTTTCTCGCCTGAATACAATGAGCTGTGATAATTTCGAGACTATTGTCAATATAAAATAATATACTATTAAAGTGTCAATTGATTTAATTATATATGGTCTAACGACCATATAATGATAGGATTTATTGTTATTACGAATAATAGAAGTAGCAGGCAGTCCGTATGTGTTCTACTAATGCTGATATTGCTAAACCAGTATCAAAGTTTAATTAGTAATATCGTGTACTAACACTTCGGTTTTGCTGAAAATCAGTGTTGTAGTATAACGGTGCTGACGCAAGACCTTTTTCGGCAACATTCTCTTCAAATAAAATTTAATCTTTTTATTTTATTTTTTTCTTCTTCTTTCTCTTCCTTCTAAAAGTACCAAAGAATTACTTTAATCATATATCTTCTTTCATTTCCAGGCTAAACGAAGAATTCGCCAACCTCCGCTTGTCAGACCTTCGCATCATAGCGACCTTGGGTATCGGAGGCTTCGGCCGAGTGGAACTGGTGCAAATCCAAGGAGACTCGAGCAGGTCCTTCGCTCTGAAACAAATGAAGAAAGCCCAGATCGTTGAGACGAGACAGCAACAGCACATCATGTCAGAAAAAGAGATAATGTCCGAAATGAACTGTGAATTCATAGTGAAGTTGTATAAAACGTTCAAGGACCGTAAATACTTGTATATGCTGATGGAGACTTGCCTTGGTGGAGAGTTGTGGACTATCTTGAGGGATAGAGGTTTGTATCTTTACTTATAACCATCCCCAATAAACAGATGCATTGCTAATTTATAAACTAAATTCTGCAAGTTGGTGACTCCTTGATTGTGCTACAAAAAAATCTTAAGAGACCTTGTAAGCAATCAGATTTATAATCAGATATAAATAATTTTCAGGACAATTCGATGACTCAACTACAAGATTCTACACGGCATGTGTAGTTGAAGCGTTCCACTATTTACATTCTAGAAATATTATTTACAGGTGAGTGCATCAAATTCATCAATTGGCATAAAAAATAAATATAAGTAACTTCTCATAACTCCTTGTGCTATTTTAAACATACACAAAATCAAGATGAAAATTAACCCTTATATGATAAATATTTTTACAGAGATCTCAAGCCTGAGAACTTACTACTAGACTCTAAAGGGTACGTGAAGTTAGTAGACTTCGGCTTCTCCAAGAAGTTGCAAGCGAGCCGCAAGACTTGGACCTTCTGTGGTACTCCGGAGTACGTCGCGCCAGAAGTCATCATGAACAGAGGTCATGACATCAGCGCGGATTATTGGTCATTGGGTACGTTATTAGTAAAATCATTATTTACTTACGCAAACATACATATATAGACACATACACACATTTGAAAACATTAATATTTTTCACATGTTATTGCACATGAAGGCACTATATAATTTAAAAATAAATTGAAAAAATGGAAGAGCAACAGCACGAAAAGCTGACGATGCCGGTTCAAGTCCTGCCCGAGTCGAAAATTTTTTCAATTTATTTTCGATTTTTAAATCACATACACACATTTTATCCGACTAACTTTAATCAACATAATTATAAACTAAACTTTTAATTTAAATTGAAGGAGCGAGGTTGCTTCAACACAAGTTTGTCATTTTATTGATGATGAATGATTTTCTCCGTTTTTTTTTACATTTTCCGCTGTTTCGTCGCACCTATTAATTGCATCGTGTAACCTCGATAACTGTTCTAATCAACACAAAAATATTTTTTCTACTCGAACCAGTAATTACTGAGATAAGTTCGTTCAATAATACCTACTTCTATACCTGCCTTTTTGTTGCCTTACGTTTAGTAAGAAGTCTAGGGTCAAGAGTTGGGTTCGAACCGCGGGAAAATTATAAATCGTTTCGCTCGTTCGGATCTTTTCTGGGTTGATGATAGAAACGGGTTTCTTGTGTAACAAATGTAGTAATCATATTTAAACATTTCTAGGTGTTCTGATGTTTGAGCTTCTAACTGGTTCACCACCCTTTACTGGCGCGGACCCCATGAAGACATACAACAAGATATTGAAGGGTATCGATGCAGTGGAGTTCCCTCGATGCATAACACGAAACGCTGCTAATCTCATCAAGAAGTTGTGCAGAGATAATCCAGCTGAAAGACTTGGCTACCAGCGCGGTGGTATCACTGAAATTCAAAAGCATAAGTGAGTATTTTAAATTTATAAATAAATAAAATAAAATATTTTCCTTTATTTTTTACTAGCTGAGCCCGCGACTTAGTCCGCTTGGAATAGTTATTTTGGGCATCAAAATGTATTTTGAACAACCTCCTTAGGTTATAAATAATAGCTGTTATCCAGGACAGTTTTTTGGAAGTAAGAAGGAGAATCATTCTTTCATACATACTTTTTTGCAGCGCGCCTAACGGAAGCTCTCAAAGATGAATAATTTTCCTCGTTTTATCCACATTTTCCTCTGTTTCTCCTATGTGTCGCAGCCTAATGTTTAATAGCTTGCCTTGCTTGAATAGTGCAAAAAAATTGTACCCACTGGTCCAATTTTTCCCTAAGATAAGCGCTTTCAAACAAACTATTCAATTGTATAATATTAGTATATATGTTACTCGTATTTGTACCAGAGAAATTCATAATAATAATTATTAAATATTAGGCAGTGGGAATTGCGTTTGTACTAATATTTAATTAATGACTTTAAGAAAAAGCTTTTCAAAAACCTACAACATAATCTAAAAATGTATATCTCCTTTTCCAGATGGTTCGACGGTTTTAACTGGGAAGGTCTCGCTATGCGAACACTGGAACCACCCATCAAGCCTACGGTTAAGTCTGCCATAGATACCCACAACTTCGACCAATACCCCCCGGATGCAGATGAACCGCCACCCGACGATTTATCAGGATGGGACGCGACGTTCTAGAACATTCTAGAAATTGAGTCGCCATAGAATAACGTGCAAAGTACGCGCGTAATACTTGGAACTTATTTCCAAAGTCGACTACTATCTGACCACAGATAATGTATAAGTGACATTCGATATTGAGAGTAAGATAATTTGTCTATAGATAAAAAATTGAAACTGATCATAAACAATATAGATAACTCTATATAGAATAAGCGGCATAGAGGCAATATTTTTAGCGTTGACAACTTAGCTATTTAAAATTTCCTTTCTACAAACTAAATGACTTGGGAATATATTGGAATACTTATTATTTACAGTTTTTAATACTTTTTTTTCTTTCTGACACCTTACTAGTTACGCTAAAAAATATGTATCTATTGTAAATAATTAGAAACGAGTGTGTTTTTATTAAAACCATGAAAGTAGATCTTCATATTTACTACTATTTTAGTCAAATTGGATACCTAATATTGGTAACACCAATCCTATATTATAGTGAACTTAAATCTTTATGTTATGTAAAAATAGTTATTAATATTCGAACTTGGCACATACTTTTCATCTCATTTTAGTCATAATTATTTTTTGAGTTTGCCATTATCTTAATTGTAAAAATTTCATAATTCCAACTTTAGACCAACTTTAATTAAATCTATGCGTTTGTACTTTATACTTATTACTTTCATATTTTCGCACAAACTTTTTTTAAACTCATTCTCAATCTTATTTCAATGCATTAAAATCTATTTTAAATGAAATTTTAAGGTTATAAGGTATACCAAAATAACGTTACCAAATCGTGGTGGGTACTTTTTGCCAATCCCAAATAAGATTTTACAGGTAACTGTTCATAAAGATAGTTTTAAGAGAGTCAAGAAATTTAACTTAAAACGATGGTGCCAATTTTTTAGTAATCATTGTAAATGGAGCGATTTCGTGTCTCTTTCACGCTCTACTTTACTGAGTAAGCTAGCAATAGCCTTGATTTTAATGGACATATTAGATTTTTAATTGAATATCGAATTAAACTGGACTTAGCTCTGGAGATGTTTAAGTACACTTATATACACATACTTTTTTATTTAATTTGAAAATAATCGTGATAAGTGTGATTTCTTATTGAAAGTTATTTTCGTGTGGTGCTCAAATTACGTACTAAACATATTATATTTTTTATTTACCGAGTATCTTTATAACAAATTATCACATGTGTCCACATCTTAGTGATAAAAGTATCAAACTCTCCACTTCGAAGTAGGTTATTGTACATAATACTTAGCATAATCATGTTTGTATAATAATTATTATACGTTATTTGTGAAGTTATATTTAATAAGCTTATTATTTTAACTAAATAATATACCTATGAATTTTACTGAACTTATATTTTTATAATCATAGACTAATGAAGTTATTAAATAATTATATAAAATATTTCGATTATATCTAGTTTTATTTTTGTCTTGTTATTGTGTACACAAATAAACACAACACAGCTAAAGAAATTTTCGTTTTCTTGTAATTTCTTTTGCTTTGTATGTTTAATTATCACACTTAAAAAAGTTAGTTGTATTTTTATGCCCCATTCGCTGAAAACGACTGTAACAAAATAATTAAGCAATACAACGTTTGCCGGCTCAGCTAGGAATATTGTTAATTTAACGTTAACTATTGAACTAGGTAGCCTAAATCGTAAACTGGGTCGTGATGGAAGCAGGTAACAGTCGAGCGTCCTTTAAAATCGGGTATGGTACAATAGCGTAATATAAGATAGACTAAACAATTTAATTAAATGTAATATTTTGCTAATTCGCTTAGAAACAAGAGGCAGATATTTTGTATCGTTGTCGATACACAAATTATTTAATTGCCCCAGGATTCGAACCCAAGATAACTCACGCTTAACTATGTATTAACAAATACGCTAATTCGTGGAACCGCAATCGCTTTCTTTAATAATGTAAAAACCCGTCCCGCTCGAGGGACATGGGGCGAAATATCTCCCTCCGTTTTACTGATCTATTTTCTTTAAAGAGCTAGTTGATTAGACTTCTGTGCCTGTCCAAACTAAACAATCTATTGTCTCCCCGGGCTCACCCAGAACCACTTGCGCTTAAGCCACGCTAGGGCTACATTTAACCATTTAGCTTTAGAGGCCGTTAATTTTATCATAGTCTTGCTACTAAATACGATTGTTTGTTTTTTTATTGATAGAGGAGGACATACAAACTTGGTGTTCATTTGATGGTAGGTGAAACAGCCCAGCCTAAGCATATAAACAAGATGCGCTGTCGGCCTATTGTGGCATTGGATATTCGGATATTCAAAGATTAAAACCAAATCTCGATTAAACTTCACTATTTTTTATCTGTGGACGGTGGTTCGTGACTTGGACGGAATTTCGATATTCCTACCGCCTATTTAATATCCAGATTTCCAGACGAAGTCCAACATGTTTCAAAAAAAGTTAATTTGAAGAATGTTGGATCCGGTAAAAATCGTACGCATGGCCCGTTGATGATCAGCCGTAAATTGCTACCAATAACCAACGAGCCCAAGTTGTATGGATAGATATTATTCTATTCGAATAGTCTGATATTTATTTCCTTTCCCTTGGACCATACGCCGCTACATCAGAATACGGAATTCCGTAGTGGGCCAGTTATCGGAAAGTTGTCCCTGTCGCCAACTGGCAATGAGGTCCAGGCATTTTCGCTGAGCCATCGTTACAGATAAGATAGAGATCTCCGCATTTTGACTAACCAAAACGACTACGAAAATAAGATAGACAAATCTTTCAAATAAAACGCTTTAACGGTTTAAAATGCGATATATTTTAGTTAAACTTGTTTGAAAATTATTTTTAAGTACGGCCCGTCGTTTCGGATGCTTTGCATCAGCCGTGGCCACGAGAAGACAGCAAATTATCGGAAACTTTTTTATTGTTGTACTTGCGTAAACGACAGACAGTATTTAGACAATTCTTAATTCAAGTTTAAGAAAACTTCTTTTACACATAATACTAATGCAAATTGCAATCTCTAAAAACAATATAACTATCATTAAATATATATATTTTTGTTATCAAGAAGTGACACACCGGATGCTGGTTCAAAACCTGCCCTTGACGTAAAATTGTTACTATCTAAAATCGATTATTTATATAACGCCATGATGTGAAAAATGTGATAATTTCAAAATATTAAATACATAGATCTCAATAGGATAGACAATTTTATTAACTTATTAACATATTTGTATAATACTAATAAAGCTATTATATGTTACGGTGGATATGGACTTTCAAAGTTATTTAATTAAAACGTCCTAAGCATAGAGTAGAATAATAAAGGTAAATCTCGAAGTTTTCTTCATGTGGGTTATAGGACTAAATAAGTGAGAAACTTTGAATGAACATGGTAAAGCCTGGGTTTTGAGTCAATTTTGGTTAAGGGAAAGCGAACGAATTTTGTATTTTCCTTCCTGGCTGAAGGGAAACATCCAAAACGAATGGTCGTTATTAAAAAAATATGTATTAATATGTTTCTCATTTTAAACCGTTAAAATATATTTGTATTAAAATATCGTAATGCAAAACATTCTTATTTCCAGGTCGAAAATCTTAAAGGGGTAAATTTACGTATAAGTTTCAGTCTGTGTTTTTCTGAATATCCAAAACTGAAATAGGTCGACAGTGCATCTGCTTAGATGTTATTTGTCTGGGTTATGCCACGACAGTCAACTAAAGCCCATATTCGTCTTTTCTGACATACGAAGTCCAACATGTTTAAGAAAAATTATATATGATTAGAATGTTGGACCCGGTGGGGATCGAACCCACGCCCCGATGATTATTACAACAACAAGCCTCAAAAACTGAGAGAGAGCAAATGAGTACGTAAGTATATAACAAAATCCGTGTAGCGAGGAAGCGCGGCGTTTTCGCGCGTTGATCATTCCATTCCTGCATTTAATGGGATAATTGTGTTCCGCCACTCGGGGGTCGAACCCTCTATTGGCATTTGACAGATCAAATCACTCATAACACTAAATCGAAATCAGCCGAAGTTAATTTGATTTTATTGGGGCGTTTAAGAAAGTCATTTCCCGAGAGCCGATTCGAAAAGTTCCCCGAAATGTTTATACTTTGAACTGATAAAAGCCAGTTTAAATGGAAATATTATAGCGTTTCGCTTTCAGTCAGGTGTGTACGATAACTTAATAGGCCGACAGCGCATCTTGTCTGATATTGTTTCGCTGGCTCTATGCCCGCCTGTTGTCCTAAAATATATCTGACCAATGTATCAAGATCTTACGTTTTATTTTTAAATAAAACGCCTTAAAAAGTTTAAAACGCGAAATAAAATAGTTAACTTATTTTTAAATGATGTCGTATGCTTTGCAGCAGCTGTCCCTCCGTGACTGCAGCAACGTCGGGCCGTAGGTAATATGGATTCAAAATAAGTGAACTAATATAATTCACGTTTAATAGTTGGAAGTGTCTAGTCTGGTCGCGTAAACTACAGACAATATTTAAATTTTATGTCGTTATATTTTTTTATTTGCGCTACTAGTATTCACATAAAAAAATGTGATAAGAAAAGCTGAAACTTAAAATAATAAGGAATAATTGTAATTTTCCTTAACTATAAATGAAAAATTTGGTGCTAACAAAATATATTTCGTAGATCTCTGATAAAAAACACTCGTAATACATAATAATATTAAGAGGCGTAACCTTCATTAATTAAGGCATCATTATTGTCAAAGGACGAAAAAGCGACGAAGAATAATCAAATTTACGGACGTCTCCTTACTTTGGACACAAAAGTCTCGTGAAACTGTAAAAAAATGTCGCTGAAATCTCTTTATCGCCTAAATCGTTTAAGGACTTTACACTGTTCCTAGATTTTTCGATTATGACTTTTAATAAAATGTTATAAAAATTAATTCGTTGAAAAAATTCAATGTTAATATTGTATGTAGCGTAGGCTAGTAGCACACGTTTAAATAAA